TTTCAAATTTGACCTTTCTGAACTATCGTAATTAAAACAAATTAAACAAAAATGATGTGCTGTTGTAGGTGGGAAATTGCAATGGTGTAATTACAGAGGAGGAGATTTGGGTGTCGTTTCCCTATGCTGGGACCGCGTATGGCATAAGACGCGAAACGCATAAGTCTTTTCGATCGAATTTTCACCTCTCTGGGTTCGCCCAGCGAAAGAACTCTTTTTTTGGCTCATCTAAAATCCTTACTACCTACATCTGTACAAACCTATACAGCAGTTGCAGATACCATAGTAAGGATGGGCAACTGTATTTGATTAATCCACATCTGCTTAAACCTGGTAGCTACACTTATTGTCACCTTGTTTTCTATCACACATTTAAACGTGTCTATTATTTTTTTCTAACCGAATTACAGCAAAAAACTCCCAAAAATTTAAATTCCTTAAAAACTCAAAAGTGGCTCAAAAGTTTTGCCGATGATACCGTAAGAAAGTAAATTAAAAACGCAACAAAAAAAGTATCTTGTAATTTTCGATTAATCATTTTTTCTGGTAAAAAACGTCGTCCGTGTTCTTATGAAATAATGAAATCGTGAAATTATACGTTTTCCTATTTTTTTTCCCATTTAAGTGTATTTATTTAAGAAGTGGCGTCGAAAATCAAAAAATGACCTTTCTAAAATACCATCTCTACAACTTCAGCTTTTAGAAAAATCGGAGCAAGTTTACTATGAAAAAACGTGCCCACACACTAGAAAAAAAAAAATAAATATCCTAGTGAAACCAATAGCTACGCTTGCTACCCATGGAATCTAAAATTAGGTAGACGCAAATAAACGAATTAAAAATAATCTCGTGTGGTAGGTAGCTGCCGGTCAATATTAAACATTATACGTCTTTATATTAGAATGTACATGCATATGTCGCGATGATGACCGTATAATAAACACACACACATAAGACGATATATACCCATATATTTATAAAATAATCAGGAACAACAAACAGAATTTCAAAACTTTTTACTAAGCAATAATTCGAATACTACACGAGCGTGTGACTATTCAGAAGTGACGGGAGATATTTTCCTATTAGACAAAAACTAGGCAATAGGCCGTGTCAGCAAATGTTTTACCATGTCACGGGGAATAACGTTAAAATTTAAGTATATAAAACAGTTGATTAATCAAAATAAAAACGTTAACGAAATAACTTACTTAAAATCAGACGACCAATGATTATTATATCTTATTACAAAAGACAATTATAATGATAGACTTAAATACTCTAATATTTTCAGAACCTTAGAAAATACAAATCAACTTTGCGTAGAAAATAAAATAATAAACTTAGCATTGCCTAAAATATGTTCAGGCTTGGAAAATAAAACAATGGGATATCGTTTTTAATATGATCAAATTTGTATTTCAAAATCTCTTTTTAAAAAAAAAACTATTAAAAATAACAAAAAAATGTTAATCTTTTTAAAAACTATGAAAATATATACCTTATTAATGACAATGAAAACGACAGTACTAAGGTTGAAAATAATAAATTAAAAGACCAATATTTAAATAACACAATTAACAATGAACAAAAAAGTATTAATAAACATGTCTGCACTTATAATGGTAAACATTACAATTCTAGAGTTTTATCAATAATAGTAGAACACGAAGGTATTGAAAAATACGTTATAATAGACACCGGATCAAATATTTCTTGCATAGATCTTTCTTTAATTAATAATATGGAATACATTAAAAATGAGGGAAAGGTTATTATAACAGGAACAGACAATACAAAATTCGAATAGATAAGCAAAACAAAATTAGTGGTTAAAATAAATAATAACACTTACTCTATTAATGCGTACGTAATCAAAGGACTAAACTGCAAAATATTGCTAGGAAACGACTTCAACATAAAAAATAACTTAATTATAAATTGTATAAATAAAAATTTGGAATTAAAAAACAGCGTCATTATATCTATGAATTAACATTAGTATAAATATACAGCACACAGCAATAATAATATAGAAATGGCAAATAATATAACAAACACTAATGAATGATAAACAAAAATATGTAGAAAAAATCGTTTTAAATTAAAATATAAATATACCGCCGAAAAATAAAATAAATATTAAAAACTTTGACATAAACACAAATATACTAGATTTAAGTTACGTAATAGAACAAATATTGAACGGTTAAGTAAAAATAAATTTTTTACGTTAGAATCACCATTGGTTAATAATGAAGACGGAATAACAATTTACAATTTTTCAAATCTTTTCATTAATATTCCCGAGGGAATGACAATAGAAAATATTATAAGAACGAACATACCAAATATTAAAAAGGAATTAGCGGAAATAAAAATAAAAACAATGTATACAACTAGGCAATAACAGTATAACGACGACATTATTGACGAAGTCACCGATAAACAGTGAAACGTAATCAAAATATCGCAAGAATTAAATAATAGACAACGTAAATAAACCTTAAAATTATTTAACAGCTACAAACATTTATTCACGACAGACCCACTCACTAGACATAAATTGTGCTGATACAGAACCATGCGAAATTAAATTATAATCAGATAAACCTACATTTCAACCCCCATTTAGAGTTTCGCCGTCACAATGAGAAAAACTAAAAACTTTAATCAATCAAATGGATCTGTATTTTAAATTCCAAAAAAAGAAAAGGATGAATACCGATTTTTGGTAGACTACAGAAAACATAACAACGAAACTGCAGCTGACAAACACCCAATACCACGATCACAAAACCTCTTTAGAAGTTTAGAAGGGGCCAAATATTACTCTTTCTTTGGGCATGGCATAAGGCTATTTTCAAATTTCGATAAAAAAAATATAACTAAAACAAGACAGGGTTTTTTTACAGATTTTGGATTGTTTGATTTTAAATGAATCTCGCAAAGATTCGAAAATTGGGCCTCAATTATTCAATGCAAAATAAATAACGTTTTTACTTATTATTTGTATAAAACCATGATAGCATACCTCGATGACACATCTGTAAACAACTGTAAACAGTTTTGAATAAGTTTTAATAAGATTAAAACAAACTTTTATTAGACTCGACGAAACCGGCTTAAAACTAAAAACAAATTTTACCTTTTTATTTTTTTAACAAATCTTTTTTAAATTGGAAATAGAATTACTTGGCTACACAATCTTTAACGTTAGATTAAAACCACTGAGGAAAAACATAGAAGCAATTTGAAAATGTCTAGTATCAAAAAAAATTAAAGATTAACGAGTTTTTATTGGGCTCGCCAGTTACTATAGAAATGTATGAAAAAACTTTGCAAACATTACTAGCATTATTATAAAACCATGAAAAATCTTCCCGAAAAATGAAATTTATTTTTAAATTACTAGAATTTGACCTAGAAATAAAACATCAGCCAGGGTTATGGAACACAGCAACAGATTGTCTCTCACGTTATCCCGTTAACAAATATAAAAAAACAGACATATTAGACGAAAAATAAAAAGACGAAATAAATGCTGAAACTATAATATCCGAAAATAATTATGATACAATAAAACCCGAGACATTAAAAATACAATAAACAGAAGACCAATTCTGGAATGGTATAATTTTATCATTATTGGGAGATAAAAAAAATAAATACAAGCAATATAGAAAATACTTAATAGAACAGCAACTACTATATTTTAAAAATTACACAACCCACGGATCAAATAACTTGTTAGTGATACCTAAAAATTTAATTAACACTGTTTTTAAATCTTATGAATCAATTTTTTTTGGACTCTTTGATCTAAGCTAGACTAAAACAAAAAAAATTTTGACCCACAATAATTAAAGACATCTCAAATTTTATAAAAACGTAAATTTCTTGTCAAAAGATAAAAAATTCAACAGATAAAGGCTACGGTTTACTACAACCAATACTTTCGACTTCAGGAATACTATTACTAATACTGACTTTTGACTATTTAGTCAAATATTTATTTACTCATTTCTAGAGGAAAAAAATACCTTGTTGTAGCTACTTGTAACGCTACAAAAATGGCTTTCGCAAAGGTAGTTACAAATGTTAACGAAACAGCAACAATAAGTTTCCCAATGGAATTAAGTCCATTATATGGTGTAGCTAAATACTTTTGTGGCAATAGGAGCACTCATTTCAAAAACAAAGAGGTAGATTATGTGAGAAAAATTAGACATTACGCACATTTTTTGTTTCAATTCAGTGAAAAATATTCATAGAGACTTGACATTTTGACAGAAATCTCATATTGTTGCCTTTCATAGACATAGTCAAATTTTCAAACGATTTGAAGCATTTTAAAGCTATTTATAGACATTTATATTTTGCGAGTTTTTTACGTAATTTTTATTTAGTAGGTACTCCGTGGATAAAATTGTTATTCATTAGCAAAGATTGATCGCTGTGTAAATTTATATATTGAATTCTACTTCTTTATCCTACTTTCCTAACTTCTCATCTTCAACAGTGGCTCACCCATTGTGCGAAATATATCAGTCTTTCATTTTTTCAAGTAGTTTTGGCTGGCTAAATATAAATTTTTAGACGACTGTGTGTTGACTACTCATGAGTAGATGGAAAGTTAGCAAAGTCTAGGATGCGAAGAGTAATTTACAGATTTATATACCTACACTGAAAGCAGTGATGAATCATTACAATTAAAAAAATATCTTGAACACAGTAAATAGGTAAGGTAGTATATTTAAAGTAAGTTTGTAAGTATTATATGTATAGTTATATTTCTCCTTCCTCCGTTTTGTCAAAGAAACCTAGAAATAAAGAAAACAAAAGAAACCCTTTATATTTGTGTTATCCGTTTTTGATTTTTTTTTTTTATATAAAACCGTCGGGTTTTAATAATAGAAACGATCACATAAATACCACCAGGTAAAAAATTTGCTTTTTTCTTCTTAACTAAAAAAAAAAAATAAACATGAAGAATGGTACTTATTATTATATTTCGCTGTTTTACATAATATTATTAGTATATATATAAAATAATAATTGTTTAGAAAATATAAGCGATATTAAAAACTTAAAAAATATCTATTTAAAGACTTATACATAAATAAGTGAAAATTTAATATTTTTAAAGTATAAAGATTTTGTAAAAACTGCATGAAAACTGTAGTTTGATTATTATTTTAAAATTATTTTAAAAAACACAAAAAATATATTGTTATAAGTATAATAATAATAAAATCGTCTTAAAAAAATATAAAAAAAAAAAAATACATGATTATTTGTATAGTTCTTTGGTTCTTTCTCATAAATGCTATACACTTATTTTACTATATCAAAGACTTCGCTGAAAAAAATGTTCGAAGGAATTTTAAATTCCAAAATTTTTTTTAAAATTTAAAACCATAATTAGAATTTAGCTTGAAAATAATAAACAATACTTTGAAATAAATTTCTGGAGAGACCATCTTTAGATACAGCCTTGACTTACATTATCAATTTATCATAAATAATCAGAAACTGCTGCGTCTGCAGTTATAATGTTTAATAGTAATAATAAATAAACAACATAACTTTATTTTTATATTTGTATTTAAGATAACATTATTTTATAGTTTATACATTTTTACAGTGTTTATCATATGCTAATAACTCTGTCGATATTAAATTTTTTTTCAAACAGATATTGTGTCAAGGGAATACAAATATAGAGAAAAATTAAATTTTTATTTTCATCCCTTAATCATTGAAAAAAAATATAAGTTTTTAAAATTTTCATAATAGCCAATTTGTAAAATATTTCTATATTTATAAAAATTCTGAACATTTTAATGTGTTGGTGTTGAAGTTTTATAATTTCTGTCAACCAGTTTACGAGATATTCCAATTTTAAATTTGGATTGCGAGAAAATAGTGGAGCTAATTATACGTTGCACGCTGCGTTGTCACATAAATGATGCTCCACTATTTGTCCCCTATCCAAACTTAAGAATGGAAAATATCTCTTAAACAAATGGTCGGGAATTAAAAATGCCAACACCAAAATGTATTTCAACAAAACTTCATCCATTTATCAAATTTTGATTATAGAATTGATATTTAAAAATTAAAAGTGGACAGTGGTTTCTTCTATAAAAATAAGTGTTAAAAAACAAAGAATAATGTAATAATTTAGAATTTATGATTCTGAAAATCGTTTGTATAAATCATGTTTTTAAAAAATAGGTATTTATGAAAAATTTGACTGTAACATGCAATTTTGGAAAACTCTGTATAGTGTTTGCTTATTTTTTTTCGCTTCAACACACAAAATATCACTGAGAACTATTTGAAAATATTAATATACTATGCTACAAAGATTTCAAATAATATGAATATTAAAACGTTTATTTTGATTATAGATATTTCGATAGTACAAAAAAAGGACTCATTTTACCATAATCTATATTTATTTTTTTATTAGACACGCGTGGTAACTACCAAAGGATACCCAGTTGACCAGGTTATACCAAGGTTTTGTTTATTTATTTAAGAACTTATTCGCGTGCATTTAATAATGGTTTTTAAGCGCTTATTTAGATAATTTTGATTCGGATGTTTGCGTTGATTTTAAATTTATGTATCATATTTATCTTATATCTATACTCAATACCCATGTAGGACTATAATAATTTTAATTTAATCGTTGTTATCGATTTATTATTATTTACTACTACTTTGGATAAATGTGTATAATATATAATTTGTTTTTCTTTTTACAAATCGTTTTTCAAAAGTTTTTGTGCGTGTTCAATATTTTCAAAAATGCCACGGAAAGGTACTTTTAGCATAAGACATATTTTAAAACACAGCCTACGGATCAAATCATTTTAACGCAAAAAGTGTGTGTGTGTGTGAAAACAAAAATACGAGTATATAATAAGTTTTCTAATAATAACTATGAATGATCACATAAGAATAAAGGATCGAACGAATGTTTTTAATTTATATTTGTTTTCTCTTGTAGTTTCGCTATCGCGTGTATCATAATAATATACGTAAATAGTATTATATATTTTGAACTTAGAAATCGTTAAAATTTCTGTGGTGAGCACTGCTTTGCGATGACCCAGAAATAGTGTTCACTTTAGTTGACTCATTGTGATCGAATGAGCCTTTAATCTTTTTTCGTAAGCTCGTAATAACTTTGCGCTTGGCCACAAATATAACAAACACCATGACGCCCTGTAACGCGTTGATCTCGTCTAAAACGTACCATATAAACCAATTGGTTTTTAAGACTTTCGATAGTACTTCAAATGACCACGGGATTCCCATAACCAGAAAAAGTTTTACGCTCATTGCAAACCTGTTGAAAAACCGAAAATAATTCACTTTAATGGCTATAAAAATAAGAATTATTACTTAATTGTTTTAATTTGTGTTTTTTTTTTCTGCGCTATATTATCACATGATGAGTTGAATATGATTTATTGTATAAAATTATTATTCTTTAAAATTATGCCATTATGACATTTAAGTAAGTAGTAGATATATTTAAAATATATGAACAAAATTTACATACACCTAATATGATTTCGATTTGGTAGGTACTTTAGATTTAATAATTAACAAACTATCAAGAGTCCGTGATCTCTATAGAAGAAAATTTTGAAAACGCATCATAAGTGTTTACCTAATATTTTTACAGTGATATGATATTACAGAAGAACATCATTTGTTTTAAAAATTAATCAAAATGTTCGTTGATGATTGTTGGTCGACAATAAAAGAATAACCCTCAAAAATATTTCTTCATATTATTATTAAATGCTAAACCATTATAGTAAGAACTACTAAAAACGACTTTGTCAAAATCCAATAGAAAAAAAAAAATAAAAATATTATTTAAAGAGATATTAGGATATTTATAATAACCACGTGACGTTATGACCCGGGCTCAGCATAATCGCTTATCTTACAAATGTAAAAATTGTTTAATTTAAACAATGATTAATGGTAGATCAATTATTGTGTGAAGCGATCGACATTTATATGTATAAGATAAGTAATTCCTGTGAGACCGGCCCAATGACGTTACGTGTTTTTTTTCAATTCATAGAATATGTCAGTGAAAACGTTAAACCTATACCTTTACCCTTAGATTTGATTATTCTTTTAAATTTAAAAAAAAAAAAAAAAAAAAGTATTTTGTATGTGTGGGTTTCTTAGCGTATATGTGTAGATACTTAAGTATACAGGTTATACATAAAACAGAAGATAAACGAAATAATTCTAGCATAAAAAAAACGCGGCTGATACTTGGTTTGGTGGTTTTAATATAATTTTATCGTTTCGTTAATTTGTATTTATGTTTCTATCCAAACTATAAGTACAAAGTAATAAAAAGTATATAAAAGTATAAATATATCTTTATATAACTTGTTGGTTGCGAACCCAACGGTAATAACATTTTATATTCAAGATCAATATTGTACAAAAATATAATATTTTTTTAACTATATAAAATAATATATCCTATTGCGTTAGAAAAATGGCAGACAATAATACCTAATTTTAATAATTTACTTTTCCATATCGAGTTGAATCCGTCGCGTTTTGGAATCGGTTCGTTTAAATTTGTTAAGCTCCGATTTGATTCTTGAACAATGTACGGCCGTAAGACCAAACAAAATCAAATTGGCAATCAGCATAATGGACAAGGGTAGTGTAAAGAAAATGAATGAGCCGTAGTTGTCCTCTGGGAAAATAAAAACAAATTTAATACACATATCATATACACCTATATTATTCACGCATTGTACAATGTTGTACACAAATAATAAATATTGTAATATTGTAATTATAAAGGTATTGTGACGAGGAAGAACGCCTTAATATGGAACGAGTTAATTGTATAATACGTTTTTCACCTGAATGCATTTAATTTTCTAGAAATGAACTTGATACTTGATAGTAAACTAAGTTCTAATATGTTTTATGAACTTGTACGTTTTTGGTATGGTCGTCTACAAGTTTTATAGACCGTAGTTATTATGATTAATATTTTATTTTCGTATCGGAGGAAAAAATTTGAATTTCAAACATTTATAATATAATATTAAATATTTAGTATTGGAAATAAACAGTGTGCCATTATACAACTACCAGCTCCCAAAACAATTAACATCTATTAGTTAAATACATTTACCGCCAGAGTACACCACGCTGTAGTTGCAAAATTAATTACATGTAACACCACCTAGGACACCACACTAATCGACAGTATCACTAAAGGAGAGAACGCGGAAGTCATATAAGGTACGCGTCAATGCGTTGTCTTTTTTCTTTTCTGGGTTCGTCCAACAGAACACCCTTCTTTCTCTACTCTTTTCCTATCATCCCTAACCTAACTGAAAATACCTATCCAAACTTTCTTCTACAATTATAATACCTAGTTGCAGAACCGAAGGTGAGCTGCTATATTCGGAATTTCTATTCTTATATACCTATCTGTCGTGTATCTTACCCTGCTTCGATGCACATTTCGACGTGGTAACTTTCTAAAGATTTCCGCCGAAGGGCTATACACAATTTAAAAAATATCAACACCTGCGATTGGAGCACTGAGTTACGCTCTATGTCATTAACTATAAACACTATATTTTTCACAGTTGTTACGATGATATTATATCCAACTTTGGTTGTTGTCATATAGTTACAAATACATATTATTTTTCATTGTTCTGTAGCTATACTACTTATTATTTATTCAATATGTCAAGTTTTGACAAAGAGCAACTTCTTTTTCTACCTGCCCTTTGAAATAAAATAAAAGAACAATTTTTTTACTACATTTTTATAATCTTAATGGGATATATCGAATAAGAACAAATGTTTTCTAACTTGTTCAATGAGAATTTCCGTTTCTTCCACCATATTATAAATTTAATACAACAATTTAAAAAAATGTAAAAACATATCGCCAACTGCCAGCGTAGAATTTTGTAATTTTGTTACCTTTATCGCTTGTCGTCGCGATCTATATTGTCCCGTCGCAACAGACCACGTTTTGTGTGTCCAAGCCTCAAGTACTATATTTAGTTATTCTCGTTTACTTCAGGTAAGTTGCTAGAGTGCATATACAAATTATATAACCAAAAAATGTATATTTCTTAACATATCTATGTTTAATAATAACTAATTTTAAATAATCTCTCATTTTAAAGTAAATTATTTCTATATTCTATGTAAAAAGACCAATTTGTATAATTCTTTTTTATTTATTCCTTCATTTAATTTTGTATTTACAGTAGCGTTTTAAATTTTGACTGTGATATACCAGATGATGAATTTTTAATTCGAAACCGGTCGCATAATATTCTAGGCGATACATTCATTCATTTATTTTATGATATTTTTATAAACACATATTTTATTTATACATTTATTTACTTTATTAAAAATTCCATAATTGGATGAAGTATTAGTTAAAATAAATTTCAATGTTGAAATTGTGTTGTGACAAACAGTGTTCACAAAAAATAAAATAAATATACAATTTCAGACCAGCTTGTTTCTTAAATGTTCTAGAAAACAAATTCCGGAAAAACTTAATAATTTCTAAGATAATAAGTGTGCCCACTTAAATGGATCACCTGGTAGATACAGTTATTTGGACACACTCATATTCTACTTCTTACACTTGGGGTTACCATACGTACCATTTAAAACGGGTGTGTCCCTTTTTTATTCATGTTTGGTTGCCCGTTCAATTGCCTTTCGTCCCGTTAGATAATAGTTCCTTTTTAATCCCACTAATTCCATATAATTATACGTGTTTAAATGAAAAACTGGTATATTAAAACAATACAATATAGTATGACATTCAAGAAAGCTGAACATTTTTTTAAAAAAACTAATCGACGGGAATGAGATGATATTTTGAATGACTATAATCATGTATGATTTTTTTTAATGACATAATAAATGTCAAATTAACATTTAAAATTTAAAAAAATGGCAAAATAATTGTAGTTATATATTAAAAAATGATTTTGTAGTGTCTATATAATTTTAGAAAGAATAAATATATATATATATATATCAACAATTTTTGGCAGAATATTCTCTAGTTATGTTTGAAATTAATGAAATAGAAAGAATATTTTTTATTATGAATGAGTTATTGACGGATGAAAAAATCGCTGTTTTAAACCTATCTATATTATCAAAGAAATTATTATTTTTAAAATATATTTTTGTAATGATTTTTGGTTTTTTTTTTTTTTGCACAACTAAAATAATAATTATTAAACGCAATTGATTAAAAAAAAAAACAATAATAATAATAATAATAATATATGACACAAACGATTATAATAGAGAAAACGATAAGCATTAGACATCAATCCAATAAAAATAAAAATATTCTGACAATTTTTTTATAGGCACAATAAAATGGAATACATACAATTGTTTTATTAAAATATAAAAGTCCTTGGAAACTATCTTGATTTTTACAGTAAAATATAGAAATTTAAAAAAAAATGTTGAGGTTTTTTTTCAGAGTAAATCTTAAATAATTTTTTGTCCCATTTTTGAAACCATATTTTCCCAACCTAAAGCGGGCTTCTATCTTTGGTATACTTTCTACGCCTATGTAGTAGGTGCAGAATCGAAGAAGGCTGTTGCACTTGGTGATCCTTTTCTCTTAGATAATTGACTGTTGTGTATGATACCTTAGTTCGTTTTACGTATAAACGTGGTCACTTTCTATAGAATACCGCAGAAGAGCTATACACAACTTGAAATAAATCAATACCTGAAATTAGATCGCTGGCTTACGCTCTACGCCTTTAACATTCGACCAATTTGGTAACGATTATAACAGTTATCTGTTGTTTATAAGTCTGGAAAAGTGTCCAATAAAACCACACGTCCTATGAGACATATACTGAGTGAGCACTCAATATACTCACGTTTACATCCAGTAATTTATATATTTAAAAACAAAAATATTTATAATATGATATTATATTTTTTTTTGCGCGTTTGCATCACATATTATCATTTACTAATGACGGGTCAAGGTTTTTGGCAAGCGGTGACACTATTACGCTGGGAAACGATGTAGAGATGTCAAACCGAACGTTTATATAATAATAATAATATATCGCATTGTGTTTGTACATATTATTAATATTGTTTTTACACTATTTTTTTTGTTTTTTTTTTTTTTGTTTACGTAATCTAGAAACATTACACAACACGTTATTTTAGATTTCCGTGTTCTGATTAAAATAACTGAATACATTTTTATTGGAAATCGGTTGAAAATATTCGTAGACTTGAAATTTAGTAGAAAACTTGTATTTGCATTTTTTAGATGTAATAAAATATTCAAAACATTCGATAAATTTTTAAGCTGTTTATAGACATTTTAGTTTTACGAATTTTTTACGTCATTTTTATTAAGCAGGACTCATACCACAAAATACAGATAAAACATAATATACACCAAAATAATAAGTTAAAATGTGTTGTTGAATATGCGTTATTAAAAATAGCAATTTTTCTAGTTCTGATCGTATTCACCTGAACGTATTAATTAAGTGTTTTAGATTCTGAGTGAAACGAGGAATTTATTTTTTTTAAAACTGTTTATTTTTTTTTTTTTTTCTGGAAACATTTTTTTACCAGCAATTTTGCTCCAGTTTAGGATGATAACACTTTTTCTGAAAATAGGTCGGATTGGGGAGATACTTTAGGGATGTCGGTTTTTTGATTTTTCCAAAAATCGGGAAAAACTGGAAAAACAAATAAAAACTTAAACAAATATTGTTAAAGAAAATATACAATGTATATGTAATTATTTTACCATATGTGACACATATATAGTTGAAAAAAGCAGCGGCTATTAACCGAACACTATTCAAAATCGTTTTTCGTTAGCAACGGTTAATCGTTAGGTACAGATATGCATTAATTTTTCTCTCTACCTTCACAACTACTTGCGTACAACAGTGGCCCACTCACGTGCGAAGTATGTCCATCTTTTTTTATTGTAATTCAGTTAAAAATGACAGAAAACTTAATTTGGCCTTTTATAGATGAGGCCAAACTTTTTTAAATAAATTGGTGATTTTTTTGCTATTTAGATGCATTTTACATTTTTTTAGTTTTGTATGCAGTTTTTATTTAGTAAGTACTAGTACCTACCAAATCTACTCGTCGTGTCGTGCCTTTACGTATAAAATATTAACGGGAAAAATCACTAGAACGAAAAACAATGCCGTAATTTATATTGTGTGTTTTCAAAAGTTAAAAAAAAAAAATAAATAGGATGTCTCACGTACATACGAGTTTACCCATTATAATATCTCCTGATATAATAAAATAATCATATTCTGTTTTAGATTCCGAGCGTAACGAGGGACCAATTGGTTTTACTAAGATGTTAATTTCTTTTTTTTCTCTGTTCTAGACTGTGGACACGTTTTTTCCTAGTAAACTTTCTCCGATTTTTAAGTGTAGCAACTTTACTGAAAGCTCAAGTTGTCTGTATCGTGACTTTAGTAAGGTAATTTTTTTTATTTTTGACGCCATCTCTTAAATAATAGTACTGAAATGGGAAGAAACGTAGGAAAATGTACAATTTCACGATTTCATTACTTCATAAAAACACGGACGACATTTTCTACTAGAAAAAAATGATTTAATCGAAAAATCACAAGACACCTTTTTTGTTGCCATTTGACGGTATCATCGCCAAAACTTTTGAGAATTTTTTGAGTTTTTTTAGGAATTTTAATTTTTGAGAGTTTTTTGCTATAATTCGGTTGTAAATATACTTAGAGACTTGAAACTTAGTCATAGTATTTATATTGGACTTACCTAGACGCGATAAAATTTACAAAATCATTGGACGAATTTTTTTTTTTTTTAATGAGCGTTTTGAAATCAAATTTAAACGAAAATAAAATCGCAAAAAAAAAAAAAATACTTCACTACAAATTATGCATTATGTAACTGCGCTCGGAATCATCTTTCGTTAAGCAATGATTTATCGTTGCTTACAGATATAAATTAAATAACCTTATTATAAATACCCTACCTTCCCAACTTCTCGCCTAAAACAGTGTACGTTCCCATTCCCAGTATCAACTCTTTTTTTTTTTTAGTCATTAAGTACAACTTATAATGAATGCTATTGGCAAATATACGAATAAAAGGCCTATATAGATAGCTAAAACACCTTTTAGAACATTTTAGCTCTTTACAATAATATTTAACCGATTCATAACTAAAAACCAAAATCGAAAACAACGAAACCATAAATCATAAACATTAATATCATTAAATTTCTATGACTTTTTCCAGTTTTTTTCCAATTATTATGTCAACTGCATAAATAATTAGATATAGATTTACTCACCAACTAGATTTATAATGTCAAAAAAAAAAAGGTCTTAGGTGATAATTTGATTGAAACATTTCTGATAGAAAATAAAAATCGTAACAATTGAGAATTATGAAATCGAAATCGACACAGCATACCGTAAATATTTTTCCGCTTTTCCGAATTTTTGTTTTCTCACTGTTCCTAATTATTATGAAAACCCCTTGGAAAATCAATAAATCTGACATAAAATCAATTAAATTATGCGTATGATAAATTACATACGAAAACATAATATACATATTGAGTATGAAAAATTATAAAATATTTTTAGACATTTGTGATGGTGGTGTCTACTCATCAATTTGTGTGCATGTCAATAATTCGTATTAAGACAACAACAATATTATTAAAACACGGTTTCAGGGCCAATAATAATAATACTATAATATCCTTAAGCAGGATATTGTATAACAGTGTATAAATAAATCATAGGTCGTACCACTCGTAACCTACTTCCTTGACACAAGTAAAATATTTTTGTATTTAGGCCTAGGTAATGTATCCCATAGTGAATTTCGCCCGACCGCGACGAGGAAAAAATCACGAGATCTGTGCTATTTGGTGCCTATCTTTTAAACAATATAATATTATAATAACAAGAAATCATCGTAATATTCGCTGACTTTTGTCTTCATCTAAAATGCCTCTAGTAAATTAATAATACCAGAAGTATAGTACCTACTATGAATACTACAACTACTAACCAGAATTATTGAATGATTCGTTCAAAAATTAATCAGATTTTTTGTTATCATTATTATAATAACACGGGCTTTCTATATTACGTGCATATCTATAGACAATCATATCGGTTACTGTTTTCTTTCTCCATTATTATAGCAGGTATTACGTATACAATAATTGACGTATAAGTTTCATTTTTTTTTTTTTTATTAGTTTTACTACAATATGTACTTTTTTAAGAGCGTAGCAATTTTTAATATTTAAAAAAAAATTCTGTCTATAAAAAACTTCTCGGAAAGAAATCTTGCTTCTATGTATCTTTATAAATCGGGGCAAGAGAGGGAATTGAGTACCATTTTTGAATACATTTTTGTCTAATCGGTGCATAAGATGTAATTCAGTTAAAACAATTCGTAAAGACTTAATATTTTGACCAAAAGTTTTATTTTTTTTTTCTGAATGTTGTCAAATTTTCAAAACATTCAAGACATTAAATTTTTGCTAGTTTTCTTACGTCATTTTTATTAGGTAAGAAATAATTGAAAATATGACAGGGGGTATATAATAAGTAATCCTTAAGTGGTAAAATAAAAAATAAAAATTGATTGTACTTGATGTGATGTATTTATAAAAAAAAAAAATCGTAAAATCGTAAATAATACGACCTATCAAAACTTGTATAAAAGAACTTGGCTTTTAATTGTTTTTCGTAAGCAATGGTTTATTGTTGGTTATGTATCCCACCTTCCCAACTACTCACCTAAAACAGTGGCCACACCCGTCTCCTGTCTCGTATCTGCTATTTTTCTCCATACGTCTTAATGAATAAGAATATTACCTTATACGAGTAAAATAAATTTTACATGTTAAAAACCTATACTCATATAGCAAGTGGGTGTACGTTTACGTCGATGTCGTTGTATTCGAGGAAAGCATATACCTATAACAAATATTACCTAATAATAATTATGGCACGCTCGTTCAGGTACCAGTCATGATTTCGCGTAAAATATCTCGAAAGTGAAATCGTTATGCGAAAATAAATCAAACCAATAATATTGATTAGTAGCAAAACAAAAAATGTCCAAAAAACCCAAAAGAACAAAATAATAGCGAATGGATACTGGTGATTATGAAACAGTATAGAGATAAAGTAGACAAGTGGTCAGTATTTACAAATTTTTTTTTTTTAATGGTGATGGCCAAAAAATAAGGCCGTCCCATTATTTTTATCTTATGTTTAGTTCGAATCGTAAACACACCAAATTAAGGTTCCATAGTAATGTGTATTATATGCACTACATAATACATACATAGTATGCAAGTTAACATATTACGTTTTGTTTAAAATGATTTCCGTTGGAAGCGTTTATATTAAATGCTACTTTCTTGAATTTATCCAGAATTTTCAAACGCATATTTGGGAAGTTAGAGGCAGAGAAACATATTGTTATCGACCTTAGGAGCTTGTATGCTATGAAATTTCCAACTTAATTGCATTTCTAATAGCTAACTCTCCAATAATACCCCATACGATGGGGTATACAACAAATACAATTTTCATCTCTTAGTTATATGTATTGCAAACTATTCTTAAATTATTAAAGATTTGACATTTTTTTTTTTTAAAAAGAATAATGTTGTTTTAATATTTTACCTGTTTTCCCAGTTTTACAAATTTCCTAGGAAATCTCCCGGGAAAATCAAAAAATGACCAATAAAATATTATTATTATTACCTACTTAATAATCGATGTATCCAATAATGTCATTTCGAAATTTAATGTCTAAACGAATATTAAGAAATAAACGAGTAATATACAATAGTGCAAATAATATCAGAAACTAGAAAGGTAATAATACAATATAATATAAGATAATAATACGTATATTTATAGCTTGTTATCTAATATATTAATCGTTAATCTTACGATGTAATGGACTACTTAGGTTTATCCTACTATTATTAAAGTTTAATAATCTACCTATTTTTTGAACATCAAATTATTCATTTTTGTCTCGTTTTGAACTTATTCTGGCACACTGTGTACCCCAAGAAAATTATCTTTCTGGTAGAATTGGTATGCACAGTATAAAAAAATAAAAATATGTAAAACCAATACATTCATCTCCGCGCCACTCAGAATCTAAAATACATATTTTTATCCCTACAATGCCTTATGTTACCTACAGATTACAATGTTTTGAAATGTCTATAAAACATTATTTAAAAAAAAATAAATTATTACCATGAGTACATAATGTTTCCTATCAGCAGCAATGTAAAAAATAAATTATCTACGTAGGATTTAAAAAAAATTAATTTTTTTCATTTATCCTATAAAAAAAAGTGCTCAATGGACAAAAAAAAAAATTTAAAAAAAAAAATAAAATGTCATCTATTGTAGGGTTATTATTGTTGGTATTTATGGGTTATTTTGGTAATAGGAATAATAGTTTTTCTATCATTTCTTTAGATTCGGTCAACGCTGTGCCGGGCGGGACAGCTATAGTGATTACTATTTATTTTTAACGGTATTTATGTTAAACTTGTCAGTTATTATTACGCGTGTCTCCCTACAACTAATAGTGAGTTAAACATGGATGATTCCGAATTATTTACTTTTGGGAGAGGGAAAGGGGGAGTGGTAATGGTTTTAATATAATTAAATATTTTTTAGTAACGTTAATATATCCTCTAAACGGTAGAAAATCATATATATTATATTATCACCTGTATATAGTAATACTTAGATATTGTTATGTCAACTAAAGTTATTATATTTTATTAATTCATTTTACTAAGTACAAAACAAAATGTGTGGGCGGACACGCACATTGCTTTTAAAAACTCATAATTTATAAAACCTTATTACATTTCGCAATGTACAAAATTAAAATTGTTTTTTTAAATACTGCAACAGGTACTGTTATAGGTAGTATTATGGTTGGTTATCTAACATAGGCATGTAGCAAAATTATTATCATTTTTTTTTTTTGAGGGGGAAATTGAGGCATTTTCAAAAATTACACAATTATTGTTATTAGGTTTATTAGTTTGATTTTAAAAAATCACCTGAAAAGGTGTGTATGTCGACCAATAGGTCCATAATAATTTTGTCTTTATTATCATTGCCTATAGTACTGTTAGTAAATCACTTGCCAAAGATGAATATAATATTTTTTTCATTTTTCTTCGCACAATTGGTACTTAACAGTTAAATTATACAACATAAAAATTTAAAAATTTAAAATATTACTATTACAAAAATATAATTTGTAAAGTTCAGGCTATAGATATTGAGTATGATAGTAAACAGTAAAGACTATAAGCAATCATTAATTAATAACCAATAAGTAATTCTAATCAAATTCTAATTTGTCATGGTAAATACGACATTATAATATGAAACGTGAGTAATATAGGTAATAGGTACTTATATATAATTAATATAGAAGACATAATGTATTTCTGAGTTCTCTATTTTTTATTGCATCTGCCTAGTAGTACTTTGTTTTGAAAATCAAAATATAGTACCTCTCCAGTAAATTTCTTTTCATAAAAGTTGCTATATTTGAAAATTGGAGCAAAATTTCTGTTAGAAAAGTTGTTCACAGAAAAAAAAAATATAAACATCAAGAAAATATTATGAATATTTATTGGGAGTGATAAAATATATTATAATAATTATTTTTAAAAAAAAAAAAACGTTTGGCTGGAATTTAAATTTGTTTAGATTAATTTTGGATTTCGGAATAACAATTGTTACACTTATATGTTAGTTACATACCATAATAATATTGAAGAATAAAAACAAAATAATTTATGTATATTACTATACAAGTAAATTAAATATTCGAAATTATCATGTCGCGTTAAAATGAATAGGTTAGGTGACCAAGGAGTTTATTTGTGGTTTTTATTACTACTATTATGTAAATTATATAGAAAAAACCCTCTCGAATTTACATTTGGGATGTTTATCTACATTATTTTCTTTTTTTTTAATTAAATTATATACCTTATACTCATATTTTATAAATTCAATAAAATAAAAAATGAGGTTAACGTGTTATGCATATGAAATTGATGTTTTCTAATATCAGACATGATTCAAATATGTGTATATATTATGTTGTTTTAAACACAAATAGTTATTATTAAAAATGTTAGACTTAGGAAAAAATTGTTTAAATTAATTCAGACTTAATTTTCGAATGTATACAACAAATAGTATTCTGAATAATATGTATTTGAATTCTGTACAAACATTTATTTTCAAAAGATTCCGAATTCTTTACTGTCTGTTAGGATTTTTAATAAAGTTTCAAATAATGTTTTACCAGGTGGAAATTCTGAATTCTTTATAGCAACGAGCGATAATATAAAAGTATGTTTACTGACTACAAAAAAGTTTTCCGAGAAAAAAAAAGTTAATAGGTATTTTATAGTTAAACACTCAGTATCTTAAATGAACGCGGCAAAAAGCAATTATTTTTACATATATTAGGAATACAGTATTAAATGCTTCCAAAAAAAAGTATGTTAAAATATATTTAGAATACCCATGTCTAGAAATTGTTTTATACCATTTCGAGCGGATTTTTTTTTTTTTTTACATAAATAATCACATACTTACCGGAAAACCAACAACTTTTAGTTCCGAGATCTGGCGAAAATTTGGACAACCCAGGATGTTCCGAATGTTGAAATATGAAAGCGGTACATGTCCATGTGCTCGAAAATCCCCAACAATAAATATTGTATATTACAGTACGCATCGTAATCGAAGAGATTTTGTTAATCGATTTGTTGTACCTGTAAATCCAATCCTTGTAAACTAAGAATAACTACATATTACGTTAAAAGAAGTTTTTTCGTTACAAAACCATACTGGCTGACAATTTGTGATCATTCGATATAGGAAATAAAAAAAACATTAGTTTTGCAATGCAATAATTTATCAAGTGAGAAAAAAGTTACTTAAAAAATATTATTATAAAAATGTATTTAATATTTATTTTAAGAATAATATCAAGATTGATAAGTAAATACGATTAATTTTTATTTTTATTCATATAATATATTCCTTTCTATAAACAAGTAATTTGTAAAATAATTTTTCTGAAATATACATTATTTTGTTTTAATTTTTTTAATTGATCTGTATGAATATTTTCAATTTTTTGTGTCCATATTTTTCAAATTTTAATTACTATTACTTCTCTGCCCTAGTTATAAATGAATAAACTTTGTACATTTTTAATAAAATGTTTAAAACAAAACGTAGACGAATAATAAATTAGTTTTGTCGAAAAATAAAACATTTCAATATGCTTTTACAGCATTATAATAGTTGGCACACATTTTTTAAATACAAAGAAAACAAAAAAAAAAATGATTGGTAACAATTAATATAAATTATTTACCTTAAAATCCAGAAAATATCGAAGCATATTACGTTTAACCAGCAAAATGTAGCAAGCAACAAAAATAGTGTGGAATAACCTAAAAATATAATTTGAATTAGTAACCCAGAAATTAATCTAAAAATGTACAGGTACTTGCATAGGTAAATAAATAATCAGTTTAAAAGTTCAAAACCACAACATATTTCATCACATTATACTATTATTATTATTATATTATCACTAATCATACTAAATGATATAATATACTAAAGAATAATTTAATTTAAAATACCGAAAAATAGTCGTCAAATATTTTTATGTGTCATCTTTTTAATTTTCAATTACGTATTTCATAAATATGTACCGGGTGACTCATTTAAGTGAGTATTAATTATCTCGGAAAGTATTAACTTTTTCAGAATTTGTTTTCTAGAACATTTATGAAACAAGCAGTTCTACAATTTTATATTTATGTTATTTTTAAGGGAAAATCACTACTTAATTTTAATTTTCAAATGGCAACCTACATTAAAAAATGCACACATGGACGGAGTATTAGTTAAAAAAAATTTTAGTGTTGACATTTTTGATTTTTGACAAGCCGTTGAAAAGATATTCCACTTTTAGGTTTGGGATGGAGGAGAGTAGTGATATATTATTAACACGCCCCGCACCATACTACTTCATACAAATGATAATCCAATACTCTCCTCCAATACACAGAAGTGGAATATCTCGTTAACAGATTGACGGAATTTAAAAATGTCAATACTAAATTTATTTAACTAATATTTGATTTATTTATGGAATTTTTCATACAAGTTTCTATTTGAAAATCAAAAGTAGGTAGTGATTTTACCCCCCCCCCCCCAAAAAAAAATGCAACAAAAAATAACATAAATATAAAATAGTAGAGCTGCTTGTTTTTTAATTGTTCTAGAAAATAAATTCTGGAAAAAGTTAATACTTTTCGAGATAATGAGCGTGCTGACTTAAATTAATCACCTGGTACATGTATTAAAATATATAGTATAATAAATAATACTTTTAAAAAAAATATATAAAACGCAGGTATATATTATATGTTCTTACGTATTATTTATATTATTTATTCCTATTCAATTAAAAAATATATTTTTTTTTTTTTGTACATTGTTTAAAATTAATTCGTACACGTTTAAGTTTTGATTGTAAACCTAAACCAATTACATTTTTAAAAACCGCACTCAAATGAATGATTAATGATAATCAATGAAATACTTAGTAAGTTATTGAAGAATAATTCAATGTAATGTAAAACAAATTTCACAAGCAGTGAAACTTGTATATAACGAACAGTTATGGAACCACAAAAAGCGATAGACAGGTGTTTGTAATAGAAAGGTACGCGATGTAGCTTTACAAAGAAAAAAATTAAATTACAAATAAAAACGAACAGAGAAAAATATACAACATTATTATAGCGAAGGGATATGGAATAAGCATTCTGAATAGTCTTTACCTTTAAATTATAAGTGTTTCTGATTATTTCTATCCTCGCAATTAACTTTATCCTCATTATCGAACATATAATCTGTTATAATCGGTATTCGGAATAGACCGGTGACGCTGTTGTATGTACATGTTTGCAATATATTTGATTTTGAACTAAAATAGTTTTCCACTATATAGATATCGGGGGAAATTATTACTGTCCGATATCCGTAATAGAAAAAGTCTGTTATAAACAGGTCAAAATACAATGGAATACTTATATTTTTGCCAGGACCTTATTTTTCCGTTAAGAGGGGTGTCCGTTATAGGTGTCCATTAAGACAAGTGTCCCTGTAGTTTTATATAGTGATATGCAGAATTTTGTGGAATGGTCTTAGTAAAAATGTTTAAATATTAAGTCATGGAATATGCAGTGAATTTTTTTTAAATTTTCTTCCAAATCTGTGGAACATGTGTGCAGAAGTGGAAAATATTGGTTATCGGTGTGGAAAATTCATGTTTTTATGCAAATACGGTATATGGGTTATAGGTATAATGTACCAATAGCAACGTCAATAATCTCGCCAAAGTTATCAATTGCCGAGATATCTGCCAAATCCAAAGTGTGGAGGGGGTAAAAGAAGCGTTGTCAGACTTGGTATATAGGTATTAGATACTTACCGACGAACTTGCAAAGAGACGGGTGTATTTCGTCACTCATCCACTGAATGATTAGCAGGCAAACAAACGACAGGAGCAAGCACGCTATGTAGCACATGACGTAGTAACCGTGCACGTTGCGGAGGGTGGAAAGCATGGCGTAGACGATGAGCGTGATAGACAGGCACACTATGGACGGCACGAAACCGAACAGAATCAGCCAGTATTTCCAGCTGCCTTTGGTATCATCCTCCGATAATTTGACGAAAGGCGCGCACGCCAAGGCTAAGACCTTTGTGCTGTTACTACCGTTTTCAGAGTAGTATTCCAGGCAATAATCGCCCTCCGGCAAATTGAGACCAGAATCTATCAGGTTTAACGTTTTGTTAACCAACAGTTTGAATTTGTTTTCCTCGTACTTGTCCTTCGCCTTGCACTTGAGACGGCTGTAGTATGGTAGTAACAGTGTCCTATTAGACAAACGATCTCCGTCGTTGGTTGTCTCATAGATATTCAAATTCAGTGGCTTCTTGCTGGTTTCATTGCACCGGAAGCTGTGTGTAAACATTAGTCATGGATTATAATATTATTATAACTAAACTACAGTTTATATAGATCGCTAGCAGCCCATGGAATTTAGTTTATACTTTATTTGACGCCATCTTCATGGACTCTTTAGGTGAAAATACTATATAGGCAATTTCAATAACATGTTGAATCGAGAAGTTCAAGTATCTATAGGTTTTAAACGTTAAAAATCGATTATTACTATGTATTATTAGTGTTACAGAAGTAACAATATATTTTTGAAATTTTAGATTATAAAACTTCAAAATCACCCGAACATATGAATTTCTCAATCGTTATTCGGAAAATTTCGTGACATACAAATGTAAAATATACTTTCAATACGTATAAATATACATAAAAGACATAATTTTCTAATTCATATGTGCTTCATAGTTTTACAAAATTGTATACTAATTTATGTTCCTAGTGAGTTATTAACTACTCGTCAAAATATAAAAATAAAAAAAGGATGAACATACTTCGCACGTGGGTGCAGTTATTTTTGTAGATGAGAAGTTGGAAAAGTAGGATACAGACGGGAATTTAATCTACATCTGTAAGCGACGGTAAACTATTAATAACGGAACACGATTTTGAGGGGAGATCAGTTGCTAGTGTTGCTTTGTCAACAATTTACTCGTATATTTCATTATGGTAAAAATATTAGTTACATAAATGTACGTTTCCATGACAACAACGATATTGTTTTAAAATATTTAAAATGATGAAAACTTAATAATAACAAAAAATAAATAAAAACTATTGCCAATGACAACCTCATTTTTAATCTTTCAATATTTTTTAACCTAAAGAAAAAGGTTTTTCTCATTATCTCGAATATTAATGGAAATTTCAAAATATGACTTCTCTAAAGTACCACCAAGAGAACATTTTCTTTCAGAAAAGGTGCTATAATTGATAATTGGAGTAAACTTTCAGGTAGAAAATGTGTTCACATAAAATTAAAAAAATGAACATAATTGTAAAACCAATACATTATTCGCTCCACTCACAATCTAAAATAAATATCCACATTTCATTCATATAGGCCGTATTTGGATTGTGTAAAAATATTACAGAAAGGTAACTCTACAACCACTCCAAGTAAAACTTAATTCCGAACTCCAAATCGTATTACTGGTATTGTTGATAAAACTATACAGGGGAGGAAGTGGAGGGGGGATATGGCTTCCTATCATAGAAGCGGATATTTTTACCAAATAATAAGTTACTATTATTTGTATAACACGCTGTTCATACTACGATTTATATGAATGTATAGAAATAAAAATGTTTGAAATAAATAACATTTTAACAAGTTTTGAAATAACATCGTTAATCGTTACAGTTATAGTAATGATAACAATTAACAGCTGATAACTGTGATGAAAATTGTACAATCAAAATACTCATATTTACATTCGTCTAGAGATCCAGCAACACTGTATGTCTAAACTAACTGCTTATAAGCACGAGCGTTGGCATAAGCACCATAAGCGTCTAACCATACTACACGGACATGTAAACATTGTTTTTTTAAAATTCATTTAAATTTAGTATAACGAATAGGTATAGTTTATATTACATCAGTTCATCAGTGCACATAATGCTGTAGGCCATATATAATTAATTTTATCATTTTGGTCTAATAATAAAAATATATTAATCATTTTTTTCAATAGTTTTCACAAAGGTATTAAGATTTATAGAAAACAAATACGAACATACTTCACACGTGGATGGGTTACTGTTGTAGGTGATAAGTTGGGAAGGTAGTAGAGGGGAAATTTAATGTTTATTTGTACGCAACGATGAGCATTTATTAACGAAAAAACGATTCTGAGTGGAGTTCAGTTGATAGTGTTGCTTTGTCAACAATATATGTGTCATATTAAGGTAAAATAATTACATACGCATTAAACATTCTATTTAATGATAATTGTTTAATATTATACCTATTTTCCCGTTTTTTCTACGTTTTCTCCCGGTATTCTCATGTGTTTTCCCAAATTTGGGAAAAATCAAAAAATGACCGCCCTAAAGTACCACTCCAGTCAGATTTTCTATCAGAAAAAGTTCTATCATTGTTAATCAGAGAAAAATTGCTGGTAGATAAGTTGTTGACAGAAAAAAAATAAACATCATTTTAAAACTAATACATTCCTTGTTCCACTCAGAATCAAAAATATTCTGAAACAAATAAGCTAACTTATCCCTTACGCGAATACATGAATATATAAGTAACTCATGCACTCATTTAGGTATATATTATATACATACGCAATACATGTTATACATAAAGGTCACCTATAAAAGTTACCTATATCTAAATTGAAATAGTTAACTTATCTCTAAACCAGAGGACACCAACTCAAATATTATAATACTATTAGACCATATTATATTTATAACATGAAGCTCACTAAAAATTCAAAATTATATTCTAATAACTGTAATTTAGTTTAAAATATAAAGCATGGTAGAAGTTAAACACAGTTAAATAATTCCGGAGAAAAAAAATGTATTTATTTAATTTAAATTTAAATTTATACAAATTTTACAAAAAATCAATAAAACATAACAAAATAATATAGTTTCACATTTTTAATGTCTCTAAAATAATATCTTCCCAACTGAATAAATTTCAATAATAATTATTTATCACACTTAGAAACATGGCGAGAAAAATATTTCAGGAGGGGGGATTTAAATTTAGAATTCTCACTCCTTATAGTATATTATTTTTTATTATTTTTACAGTAGGTTAATTATAAGTTTCACTAAGAAGTAAAAAAAATATATATGTGTAATGTAGTATTTTTATTTTCATACGAGTTTTAATACTAGATCAAAATCATAAATATTACGGCCTTCAAAACATTTATTAATAAACTTCACTCCAAATTTTTTTTCGTTAGCAATGGTTTATTGTTACCCTCAGATATAAATTAAAGAAATGTATATATTCTACCTTTCAAACTTTTCACTTACAAGTAGTACACTCGTCCTAAGTGTCAGCTCTTTTTTTTTTTGTATACTCATGTAAAAATCAAATTTTTATGAAAACCATAAAGTATTTTTCACGAGAAAATAATAGTAAAATCGTTTTAATACAATATCGTTGCTCCGGATGTCGCTAAAACCACGTGTATCGTCGTAATATTTTTCAGTCAATTTAGTTTACGCTGAAATTAAAAAATAATATCAATTTTAAAATTATATTAAAATAAAATTAAAAATGCATTCCTCCAAACGGCCAAATATATCGATGAATTTCGATAAGGTAGTTGTATATTTTAAACATAAACCATATACTGTATCCTAAATCGAATTTAAGGTTAAACAAAAAATGAACAAAATTACTCCACATAATCATATACTGTGATAGTTTCACAAATGACCTCTGATTAAAAATTTGTTCTAATATTGCAAAAAAAAAAACCACTAAACCACATGGTGTTTTACGTCCATTATCATTGGAATGATGTAAGTAGCCACAAAGTCTTAAGAGGTATATTATTACTATTTCATAGTATTTGTCGTCGGGGTCATTTTGACAATCCATTATTCAAAATCGAACGGAATCGTGTTCTCAAAAAGGTAAAACGTACGGAATCGTGCTTTACCGGTAAGATATTCTGTGTTTATCGCAAAAATAGCCAAACGTTGAAATTTTTTATTCATTAAGACTTAATGACTGAGATAGTCGGTTACCTGCAATCTAAACGATTTTTTATTTCGTTTAGGAACTGGTGGTTTTCCTTCATTCCGTAAAAATTAAAAATTCGATTGAACATTCAAGTAACCACTTTAGTAATTAGTTAGATTTTTTTGCTTATCTACTACCCAGGGTCACCTATTTGAGAAGCCAGAGTTCGGCCATTTTTATGGACGAATACATATCACATTTTGGACCGAAAAGCTAGACAAAACTGTAGGAATTGGGTTTGAAGAATTTTAACTTTGAAAAAGTTTTGATTATTTAATATTACTAACAGAATATATTGAAATTATTTTTGATTTTAAGCGTAATGAGGGATTCATTGGTTTTACAATGATGTATGTTGTTTTTCTGTCTACAAAACAAATTTTTTATAAATAATTTCTTCGATTTACAAGTGTAGATTATTTTTCTAAAAGGAAGTCGGACTGGGGAGATACTTTAAGGAGATAATTTTTTCGTTTTCCCGGGAGTTATCCTAATAAATGGGGAAAAACATTAGAAAACCAGGAAAAACGTAGGAAATACGGGAAAATAGGTACACTATTAAACAAAATGTTCAATGCATATATCGTTGACAACACTATTAACCAAATTCCTCTCAGAATATTTTTTTTTTTGTTAGCAATGGTTTATCATTGCTTACAAATATCCTATAAATTTCCTCACTAATATTTTCTCAAATTCCCAGCTATAACAGAGGGTGCATCTATTTCCATTATCCTAGGACAGCTTTTTAAATTCTAAGTGAACGAGGAGCTTATTGGTTTTATAATAATGTCTATATTTTATTAGTTTTACTATATGATGTATGTATTGTTTTTTTTGTCTTTGAACAAACTTTTCTATCAGAAAACTATCTCTGAGGTTTAGACTGCAGCACCTTTCTGAAAGGTTATTTTCTCTGGTTGATATATTGGCGAAGTTATTTTTAATCTTCGTAATAATTGGGAAAAACCGAAAAAAAATAATAGGTAAAATGGCAAATATTTACGTCACACCGCGGTATTACCGTTTTCATTATGTTTATATGATGTTTTCTATCAGAAATATTTTTCCAATCCAAAAATGACTAGGGATCGATTTGGTTCCTTTTAATATTTTGCCATATAAGTCATTTTTTGATACATAAAATAATTTTATAAATAATTTTTTATTTAAAATTAAAAATTAAAAAAAATATCAAGACATTTTTTTTTGTTACATTTGTAATCTTGTTGATGTGAACAAGTAAGTTGTTTTTTGATATTCTTTGTTATTTTTTTTAATAATTGAGCAAAACCGAAAAAAAATGATACATAATATCATTTAAATTTTAGATTATGAATGTATCGAATAATGTACCTATTGGATTTAAAATGTTTTTTTTTTTTTTTTTATACTACGACAAAGATTTCTACCAGAAATCTTAATTTAATAAGTAAGTATTGTATGTATAGCACTTTTTTTGAAAAAAAATATTGTCATATTGACTATATGATATTTTAGGAAGATCATGTTTTGATTTTCCAAGCAGTTTTCATAATATAAAAATATCCATAAACTGTAAGAAAAACAGGAAAATTAGCGAATATAATGCTTTTATTATTTTCAATTTTGTTTTTTATTTAATTTAGTTAAAAATATTCGTAAAGACTTGAAATTTGGAGAGAAAACTTATACTTGCCTTTTCTTGATGTGTTATAATTTTTGAGCAACGTATAGACATTTTTATTTTGTGAGTTTTGTACGTAGATTTTATTCGGTAGGTACTCTATGAATAAAATTGTTAGACCAAACAGAAATGCTTGAGAATTTAACATGGTGTTCATTAAAAGTCGTAATTTGTAGTAAAAAAAAAAAATTGAGCAGAAGCTAACTGGCTTATCATTTATAAATATTCATCGAAATGAAAACATTAATGTAGAAAATATTGTTGATTTTGGACGCTAGCACAACGCTGCTTAAAATGAAAGTATTTTTGACTTGGTCCTCTTACTTTTATTAATAATTATTATTATTATTTTTGATATTAACTACGATCATCATTATAATCATTATTTATTTAATATGAAAATAATAAATATAACTTTTAAACTGTACTGTTTTACTGCATTTGTACAATAAATCTGCAGACTTCTAAGCTAATTATGGTTGAAATGACTTCAGACATAAAGGTTTTAAGTTTTTGTTGACCAAAACGGTAGTATTAAAAATAAATTGTTTGCCGCAACCCACCTCCTTGGAATTGACCGGAAGACGCCCCTGAGCAATATTATTAACTACGCTCCGCTCAGAATCGTTTTTTATTGGTAATGCTTAAATTTGCTTAGATACAGATTTACATTAAATTTCCCTCAATATCCCACATTCCGACTTCTTATATACAACAGTGGTACACGTCCACCCATCGTACGAAGTATGTCCGTATTTCTTTCTTATCAATCATTAATATTAAATTTAATTATTTCGACCCCCCTTCAACCATACTTAAGGTCGGAGGACTGAAGACGTTCCTGTTTGTACTCTGTTTATAATCTTAAAGTTACCATCAATATTAATCAAATCATATAAATTTGTTTTTATTTTATTAGGTTTTAGATTATTCGAGTCTATCAAGTTTAAAAATAGCTCAAAAACTCCATAGCGCAGAAACAATATTCTTAAATGAATTAATCAGCAAAGTTTACAGAGAAATTTAACTAATACCTACACTTCTTATATTTTCCCGTTTTTCTTCAGTTTTTTTTTCTTCGAATTTTTAAACTTTATGAGAAAAATCCTGACAAAATAATAAAATTACCTATTTAAAGTACCCCCCTAGTGAAATTCCCTTTTTGAAACATTGCAATTGTAATAGATTAGAGCGAAATTGCTGATATAAAAGTTGTCCACAGGAAAAAAAAACCGGCCACTGATTACCAGTGGTGGCTCTAGAACTTTTACTTTAGGTGGGCCAATCTGAGGACAACATTTTTTTCGATACCTTTGAATCAATCTGTGAAAATTATTATGGTAAAATAATTGAATAGACTTAATACATTTTCCCGTTTTCCTCCGTTTTATTCGTTTTTTCACATTTGATGAGAAAATTATTGAAAAAAATCGAAATATGACCTGCCTTAAGTACGACCCCAAGAAAATTTTCTTTCAGAAAAGAGTTTACATCATATAGATCGAACACATCAATGTAAACTTTCTTGTACAAATAGTGTACATTTAAGTGATCGCTTAAAAAGAAAATTTAAAAAGACGTTCTAGGATAATGGGGACGGGTGCAGCCATTGTTATAGATAATTTAATGTATACCTGAAAGCCACAATAAACCATTACCAATGAAAAAACAATTCTGAGAGGAGTTCAGTTGATAGTAATACAATGTCAACAATATCTATGTTATATTATGGCAAAATAATTAAATAGTCATTATATTATATTTTCTTTAATAATATTTATAAAATATTGTACCAAATTCACCATGTTTTTTTCCCGGTTTTATTCCGATTTTCACATATGCTGGGAAAACTCCTGAGAAAGACGAAAAATTAACACTCTAAAGTACCTCGCTAGTAAAATTTCTTTTAAGAAAAATTACTATCGTTATATATTTTAGCGAAATTGCTTGTAGAAAAGTTGTGCACAGAAAAAAAAGAAGGCTGTAATATATTTAACTAATACCTACATTTCATACATTTTTATGTTTTTTTCGGTTTTTCACATTTGTTGAGACATCTCCACTGAAAATCGAAATAAAACCTCTTTAAAATACCTCTCCGATGATATTTCATTTTAAAGATATTGCTGTTAATTTAAGTTGAAACAAAATTGATGGTAAAAAAATCGTTTACAGGAAAAAAAAATCTTAATAATGTACTAAAATATATTTCGTACATTTTCCCGTTTTTCCTCCTGTTTTTTTTTCGGTTTTTCACATTTGTTAAGAAATCTCCTGAGAAAATTAATCTCCTTAAAATAAAATGACCTTCTTAAAGTACTTCCCCAACTTTTTTTCCTTACGGTTACGATGCGCATACTTATAATTATTTTTCTCATTTGTATTATAATAATTATAATGTATGTTATAAGTTCGTTGAAATCAAAAAAAAGAACCTGATAATGCCGATGGGTATGTTACTGATTACTATTGCAAGTGTAAAGTTTGAAAGTTGAGTAATTTGGACAAAAATGATTTAATCTTTATCTGTATGTAAAGATAAACCATTTTAACATAGTTTTTTTTTTATTTTCCGTAATTTTTAGTTTTTACAATGTTGGTCGAGATTTAAAAAAAAAAAAAAATTATTACATTGGTAAAGTTCAAATGTTTTCAACATTATTGTTGCAATTTAAAAACTATTTCCAGTTTTTCACAAATTAGGTATAATTGTTAAAACAACGGGGAAAATTTAATAAACAACTCTTAATCACTGATTTATTTTATTTATTTTTTTGATTTATTCATAGAAATATTTTGATCTCGTATAAATGTAATACAACAAGTTATTTTAGTTTCTCTTATTACTCAAACAAATAGAAATAAAAAAGTGTTTAAGCTGTTTGAGTTCATAACATATTCACAAATTATGGATCATTTTTTAGTTAAAAATTAATTTATTTTTTATTTTTAATTTAGCAAAATTTGTTTAAATTGTATATAAATTTTGTTGTATTTGCAAAGATTTATTTATTTATTATTGCAATTAGAATATAAAATAAAATTACCTTATGGTTATTCTTCCTCTCTAACTACTTATCTGTACAACATTCTAGAATTTTTTCCGTTCTCTATTTTACTATAGCCCAGGCTCCCGTTATTCTATTCCTGCCGGATTTATATTATAATGCGGAACACTCACGGAGAAGGAGTTGTAGAGAGGAGGTGGGTTGCAAGGGCACTTACTTGGAACCGATTATTTTGTTGCCTCTACAGCATTTATTTACGCATGTATACCGGCCGCTTTTCTCATCACAATAAGGGACTTTTGGACGGCACTTTCGGGCCACCAACTGCAATCCCGGTGGTGGTGTCACGTCAAAACAATTAAGGTCTTCCGACAACAGCGGCTCAATGGCTGTTGACTTATTGACTACATCAATCAGCACCTCGCCGTCCTGGCACATTGTCGGTCCGTACTTGTAACCAAGCACGGTGACAGTGTCCCGAATCCGGTCCGGCAGTAGTAACATCTTCAACATCAGCCACTGGAAGTCGTTGGTGGATTCTTGGCCGTTTTCAACCGCTTGACAAGATAGCGTTTCCGGATCATAATTCTGGTCTGGTGGACAACACTTTTGAACAAGTTGCAGTGCATCTGCACCGGAGCCGTATGGCTTCGGGCATGACTCAAAGCCACTTCCACCGATTATTTCGATTCTATGAAACGTTTGGTTTTCGTACTGACAAGCCGGGTTACCACCAACATCGCCGGGAGTAGAACAACACGTCAAACGGACGACCGCCGAGGATTTGGCAGCGGTTTCAACGGTCGCGAAAACGATCGAGTTGGGGCCGACTACCGTGAATAACAGTAGCAAGGCTGATTCAGCGAAACACGATCGGACGGCATTCATTGCGTTCGTATACTGTGTAATGAGTAGCAACGAGCCCGTTCTCTCACCCGCAACCGTTCGTCACCACAGCGTTGCCCCCCCACACCGCCGATCGGCGATTGTGTCCGTATCCGTGAGATAATAATATTTTAATGTTGTTACCGATATCTCTATAGTTATTACTTATTACCTATAGTGGTTCTGAAACATTTACAAAACGATTTTGTAAATACCTCATATATATAAATTATAAAAAAATTAAAAAAATATGGGCATGCTTTGAACGTGGGTGTGCCACTGTGGCAGGTAAGAAGTTGGGAAAATAGAGAGGAAATTTTAAGTTTATATGTACGCAACAACAAACCATTGCTAAGGAACAACGATGCCGAGCGGAGTTCAATTGATATTGTTGGTTTGTCAACAACATAAATGCCATATTATGCTAAAATAATTACTTCGGCAATATATATTTTCTTTAATAATATTTTTTTAATATTGTACCTGTTTTCCCGGTTTTTCCAAAGGGAAACACCTGGAAAAATTAAAAAAGACTTCTCTAAAGTACCTCCCAAGTCAGATTTCCTTTTGGAAAAATTGCTGTCGTTGTAAATCGGAGCAAAACTGCTAATAGATAAATAATTCGCAGAAAAAAAAAAATTAACATCTTTGTAAAAACCATGAAAAACGAGGAACATTGTAATCAGTACATTGAACAATATTTATTAAAGATAATATAATATAATCCTATTTAATTATTTTACTACACTATGATATATACATATATATATATTGTTGACAAAGCATCGTATATTATAAGTACAATATTATATAGTTGTATAATGTATTTAGTTTATATAAAACGAAAATTACTACATTTGGACGACAATACGCATGTTTGTTGGTAGTTGGTGGAATAATTACCAAAATACAAAGAATAAGGGGATATTCTTACAATAGGTGATCATTGATCAGTGTTAAGTATAATAATTGTAAATAACAATATATTGAAAATATATTTTATTATACAAATTATTGAATGATATTAATTTGGTTAATGTAGTATCCAATATAAGTGATAACTAATATATTATATAGGCGTGGTCGGACTTTATCCGCAGTCGACAAATAAATAGTATAATAATATAATATTACTGGCACTAAAAAAAAATATCCAACAACATTGGGTATACACTTCAATTACTTTTAGCATTACCTATAAATTATTCGAATAAATTATAGTGCTAAAGACCTCACGAAAATATTATCTACTTTTGTTAATATTGGAGTATATATGTGATTTTGTCTATGTTTTTCTTATTTTGGATTTATATTCAGTCACGATACTTATTTCGTAAATATATAAGAATGAAATAAGGTATTTAAGGTTAACATATTTTTTTTTTTATACTAGATAACCTTTAGCATGATGACAATGATATATTGCCATACATATTTATTTTTAGATTATGAACGGAGCAAGGAATATATTGGTTTTATCATAATGTTTATTTTTTTTCAGTGGACAACGTTTCCACTAGGAATTATATTCCGATTTTAAATTATAGCACTTTTTCTGAAAGGAAATTTGACGGGGGTAGTACTTTAAGGAAATCGTTTTTGATTTTCTCAGCTGTTTTCTTAATAAATGGAAAAAACGTACAATATTAAACAATATTATTAAAGAAACTGTGTAATGCATATACAATTATTTTAACATGATATGATATCTTTTACAGAGTTTGAACCATGAAGCAACAATTGTCTTGGAGGATTTTAAGTGAATTAGATTTCTGTGTTTTTTTAATCATTATAGAATCGACTTTATTTTCAAACCGTTTTTAATTTTTTACCCTTACTACATATGCTTTAAATAAATTTATACTTTTGTTTTTGAAATAGTAACTTCCATTTTTGAATAAAAATTTGAATTGAAAATATTTTTCTAAAAATGTTGATATGCATAACATGAATATCAGATTTACTGTTTGCCCGTTAATGTTCGTTAAATCCGTTTAAAGTTTAGACTAAAGGAGTAGTGAAGGGTAATAAATTCTATTTTTATCTATTTTTGAATGATTATTGAATTTAAAACGACTGTTAATTAAAAACTATTCATCAAATATGAATGTGGTATACATTCTAAATCTTTTAGAATAATATATTTTACAAAATGGGTTTTTTGAAATTATTCTACAGTGAATTAATGGTTATTATTTTTTTTTTATGGTGAAAATAAAAATTTAATTTTTCTACAAATCAATGTCCCCCTCGAAGACAATCCGATTGAAAAAAAAAATTGAAAAAAATTAAATATTAACAGCTTTAGAAAAATGTGTCGAACACGGTAGTAAACACTGTATATCATATAATAAGATGTATTATACATTTTTTCTTCGGTTTGGCGAAAATGTATAACAACTAAATACTCGCGAGTAATAATTTATTTGAAATCCGATAGTATACTATATGGAAACCAAAAAAAATCTGAAATTTAAATTATTTGGAAATATAAAGTTTAAATTACATTGAAAAATAATAATTTCGTAGAACATAATTCAAATAATATCAAAAATTGTAAATCCGAAATTAAAGAAAACTTTAAACACTTAAGATAGTTTTACTTTCTGTAACCGTGGTCACGCCTATGATAATATTTAACTAATAATAAGTAGCTAGTATAAGTAGCCCATAGATAAAATTTTATTATTCTTTGTGGAGTCTATAATCTTGAGTAAATAAATAGTTTAAAAAATTAACAGCATTACAAATTCAAATTCGTAAAAAACATTAAACATTGAACATAATTTCATCTACTGTCATCGTAATCACGTCCATAGATCTCGCACGAGCTTGGTCAGTAGAACTCATGATCATAAATAAAACATTTTTTTTTTTTTTTTTTAAAGTACCAACACTTTATTTAGCTTTTCTTCAAGTTTTTTTTTTTTACAATTAATCATATTGTCAATTGTGTATCGATTAGAGAAATGTCAATTGTGTATCGATTAGAGAAATATTTGTATTTAATTTATTGGGAATAATTGAAGGGCCCATTGTAACTGAAGGGCCCATTGTAACNGGGTGATGAAAATTATATATAATGAAAATTCTTAAGGTCACAACACACGGTCCGTTCGGCTTGTCAGTTATACCAACACTTTATTTAGCTTTTCTTCAAGTTTTTTTTTTTACAATTAATCATATTGTCAATTGTGTATCGATTAGAGAAATATTTGTATTTAATTTATTGGGAATAATTGAAGGGCCCATTGTAACAACCAACTATGTCCATTTTTGATAAATTTCAGGAGAGAAAAAAATTGTTTTAAATCATAAATATTTAGTATACCCTAAATATTTATATAAAAAATATGTAGAATTCCTCTCTATGTATTCACATTATGAATTACAATTACAGTTCTAATAACACAATTAATACTATAAACATAATTTTTAATTTTTCTTTTCAGTTAAAGAAAAATTTAAGTTAAATCGGTGCAAAAACCATGCATGTCCGGACACACTATGTTTTTGGAGTGAAATTTAAATACCAGTTAAGTCCATTTTGCCAAGAACACTGTACCTAATAATCGGACATGACTGCTTGTTATTCCGAAATGTGCAGCATGTTTTTCTTATTTTGAAACTACAATAAAACGTTTTTTTGAAAACTTGGACATAGCCGGTTGTTTCACTGGACTTCAACTGCATTACTCAAATTTTTATAAAAGTAAACTATATATTATACTACAACATACGTAATACCTAATACATCATTAAATTTGTATTAATAATTAATATTTTATCATAATAATATTTCCGGTGATGAGATCGTTGATGCATTACTATGTATTTTTGTTTACAGAAGGCCAACGGAAGTTTACAACGGCAGCAGGACGACGGAAAAGAACGAAGTGTTAATTTACATGTATTTTATGAATATTTATATTAATTTATACGAGTACCTATAATTATGTACATTATTATTATAAGTGTATCATTGGATTATAATAACACCCACCAATTAGATAATAATATGTCGATAAAACTTTTAAGAAAATTACATTTTTGTAATTCAGATTATGAGGTAGGTATCTATACGTGGTATCTATACATATAATTTTACTTTTTTTAAAATCTACTTTTAATAATTTATATTTTATCAACCTTTTAAATTCCGATTTCTGATTTTTTCTTAGGTGTTTTATTGTTGAAACTTTGAATCTAGTTGAAGCAGTGGCAAATTTAGCATTTTTCTTGGAATTGGACACAATAAATTTCATTCATAAACACGAAATTATATCTCCTCCTAGTGTCCATTGCAAATGTATACACTCACCACACTTTTGATATAATATTTGTTTTATATCAACAATATAGTCAACAATTTATTTAAACATAATTTTAAGATAAAATAATATAAACTTTTTATTACGATGACAGCGAATTTTTCACTATTATTATGATTACAGAACCACAGAATATTTGTATTCTAATTTATTTTATACAGAATTATCAATTATTACCTACACATTATTACATCATGATTGATATAAATAGAGATTTTATAAAAAGAGCCATGAAGTTGAATCTAACCACAGATGAATACACCATTAAGTTGATAGGAACCCATATAAACCTGGGCAGTAAAATTCTGGACGGTATAAACATGGAATTTAAAACACAAATCTTACAGTACAAATCTGGACCACGCATATCTGAACTGCATATATCTGAACCAAATACAGTGGGTGCCGTTTATACTGACTTTGGGATCAGCACAAAGTGAGCCTTATAACCGAATGAACCTTATAGACAAAGTGGGAAAAGTATATAATGTATTTAGATATGTCCGGACTGTTCCAAGTTTTTTTGTTTTAAAAGCGAGTCTTAAAAGTAACGGCATCGACAGTATATCCATTTTAAAGAGTATGAATAGGCAATATAAATTATAATTTTATTTATAGGTGGTTTGTTTTCAGGGGCAAGGGTAGGTAAAACAAAAAACATGCAAAAAAAGTTTATTA